TGACTTCAGCAGTAAAAAATGATGCTCTAGGACACTATTGAGGGTGACTGTGTGGCAGAGAAAGCTGTCTGAGCCTGTCTACCCTGTTTCTAAAGCAGCTTTCAGCTTAAGATCTTCCTCGTTCCTGCTCTAAAGATGCACCTCTTATAGTCAAACCCAGGAACAGCAATTCTGCATAAAAATGTAGATGGTAGAACATTTACTCTGTTCTCCTGTAGCATTCCCCCAAGAGAATTTGCTGCACAAATAGACCAGCTACCCAAGCAGCTGTAGGGGAGGGAGGGGTAGCATAAAACAGCCAGAGAACCAGAAGGAAAGGAGACAAAACAACTGTTAGAGCATCAAGGGGGCTACTCATCTGCCAGCCTATGCAGTTTGGTGGTGGTGGTGGGCTGTCCCCCAACAGGAAATTGGGAATCCTATAGTTGAGTGATTTGGGGGAAAGATGCAGTCCTGGGATGAGAGATCAGGCCTCTGATGTAAAGTGAAAGTTCTGGTGGATCTGGGGCACCTCAAGTATCCTTGCTTGTAGAGAAACAATACAATGAAAGCTTTTTGACATAGTTCTTTATACAGCCAAACAACAGTACTAAGAACAAACTTGCTGTACTGCTCCAAAGAAACACTGAGCTGCCTGGAAGCATTCATTACGGTTTCTGCTGACTGATGTCTGAGTTGCAGTTTTTAGGCTTAAGCCCCATATTGAAAACTACTCTAGGATAGCTTTGCCTACACTGTTTTACTTAAGGGAGAAATGATTGAGAGAGAACTGTTTGCTCAAAGTCACACACTCATGGTCATAGTTTTTGGCAAGTCAAAAATATCTATACTGGAAGAGTAAGATGGTGCTGGACCATGCAAACAATTATAGCTGGTTGGGATCAGGCTCCACCCTGCTACTGTGGTAGTGGATTAAGAGCTAAGTATTTTCTACTCGAGTCACAGTTTACTGAATTCTAAGCAAGAGGACAGTGATTGATATAGTCAATTGGGTCAGTCCAACAACCAGTTTAAAAAGAACAGATGCAAATGGAAATAAAATAGGATAGCATGTTTAGTCCAATAACATCAACACCTTTGAATACTGTTACATTGTCCAGCATACTGGCTACAGCAGAGGCTCGGTATGGGTGGTGACGGAGATACAGCTAGGAAGGTAGTTTTTGAGAAAGAGTGACTACTCTATTTCAAAGCTAGGCTTACAGACAGCTAAACTAGCAGGGTGGAAAGTGCATTCTCTTTCTGACACTTCCTCTGCCTTTGGATCCAGTTTGAAACGTTAACAGATGTTCACAGCTAAATGATGGGGTGTTTTCTCCTCACAGCTGCATGCGGCACAATGAGAGTAGTTGACCCCTTGGAGCTGAAGGTGGGGTGGCATTGCACAGAAAACAAACACATGCCTACAAGGTGGGCCAAAAGGGAGGGACCTTGTAATCCAGCATGTGCTGAAAATACTTAAGCAGACATGCTGCTGCACTGGTCTGACCAACATGAAACAAACAGAAGACACATGAAATTATCTAGACTGCTAGGAGGTGAAGATCATTTAAATCAGCTAAGGAAATTAACATCCTGCAAAATGAGGCTACAGAAGCAGGTATTCTTACTTTTATTTATTTATTTATATTTTCTTTCAAAGGGCAGCTAAAGAAATAGTTTCATTCTAATACACAAGCAAATACAATAGGGACTAACAAATCAGGACTGAGTTGTTCATGGTTTTCTGAACTGAAACAGTTAAACTATACAGAGTTGAAGACCGTTTGTTTATAGTGGAACAAGAGGACATCTGTGTTAAGCAATCACTCAATCCAGTAAATGTTAGTAACATGTTTAAGAGTCTATAGGATTACAGATCATGCTAATATCAGCTTGGATGTTTACCAATAGGTGAGAGCCAACAGCATCCTGATAGATAAGTACTTACTCCTTGAAGAAATCTTCCAGTGTACTCCTGTCTCACTCATTCTTACAGAGGGACTGCCCCTGCTCTGTGTAGAAGTATATAGAACACATTCTTTTCTTCACTCTCTTTCCAACTCTTCTGTGGGGCTGTCACTTTTCTTTCATTAGCTTGTATGCCTATTGCCTTCCTTTGCATAGCCTCCTTCTTATCAAGCAATTTGGGATAAAGTTTCACCTATGAAAGTTACAAAGGGCTGTACCCGTCCTCCCTGTGTTTTGCTCTCATTAATGCAATTTCTGTTTTGCATCCACATGCCTGGCCTTTATAATTGCATACACACCATTTATGATCTGTGCTTCCTCCAAGGAACAAATTCTGCTATCATTTTTTCTCTATTCACTTTAATGGCTTCTGCTTTTTTCCTCCAGTGATGGGAGAACATTTAATCCACTTTCTGATCGCTTCATGCCAGGGTAGTGCTCCATGAGATCAGCAAGCCTCCAGTTCTAGGGAAGGCTGTGCGTCTCCAGCAGCTGAGACCAGAGCCATTGCAGACCTGCCCTGCAGGCAGGGCAGAAGTCAGCAAATATCAACTCTCAAAACCCTCTTGCCATAGATAACAAGGATGGTCCAATGATTAGGCAGCTACCCTGGAAATCAGGAGGCAGATTCAACTCACTGCCCTGCCAGAGACTCCCTGTGCGGCCTTGGCCAAGTCACTTAACCTCTCTGGCTCAGTTCCCTGTCTGTAAAATGGGAACAAGAGCACTGCCCTGCCAAACAGGAGTGCTGTGAGGGTAAATACATTAGACTCTGAGGCACTGAGATACTGTGGTAATGGGGACCATATAAGTAGCCAAGATAGATAAAGAAATCCTTTAGGATGTCATTTTTCTATGTAGAAAATTCATCAGAATTCCCCATTAGGTATTTAATTAATAACTTTTCCAGAGCTGCTGAAAGCTGCTACCTACTGTTGAATTTAAGCACTGTGCCCCACAATATGGGAAATTTAAAAGCAAACGTGTCAAGTCTCCCTGAAAGGAGAACTCTACATGAAAAGCCAGGAGGTTACACAAACTAATAGCCCTCATGTTGCTCTCATCTAGTTGGCTGGCCTGGCCTGCTATGGTTACTTTGATCTCCATTAAAAGCAGGCTTCCCACCTCCCTACCTGAATCCCACCAGCAATGACTTTTTTCCTTTTATAATGGACTGGAACCGTAACTTTTACACAACAGGCTCTTGGCCTAGAAACACACATCTTATAACCCCTGTACTCACCAAAATACTGGTGTAACCGTTGCCACCCACATCCCAGTCCCTGAGAGACCACATTTTTTGTAACTGACAATCATGATAGGGGTAGAAAGTGGCTGATTCCAAATATGTTTTTTTAAAGGACTGTCAAGTGATTAAAAAATTAATCGCGATTAATCGCTCTGTTAAATACATTTTCAAATATATTGATTTAAATTACAACACAGAATACAAAATGTACAGTGCTCGGTTTATATTTATTTTCATTACAAATATTTGCATTGTTAAAAACAAAAGAAATAGTATTTTTCAATTCTCCGAATACAAGTACACCTCTACCCTGATATAACGCTGTCCTCGGGAGCCAAAAAAAAAATCTTACTGCGTTATAGGTGAAACCACGTTATATCGCACTTGCTTTGATCCACCGGAGTGCGCAGCCCTGCCCCCCCAGAGCACTGCTTTACCCGTTATATCCAAATTCGTGTTATATTGGGTCGCGTTATATTGGGGTAGAGGTGCTGTAGTGCAATCTCTTTATCAGGAAAGTTGAACTTACAAATGTAGAATTATATACAAAAAATAACTGCACTCAAAAACTAAACAATGTAAAACTTTAGAGCCTACAAGTCCACTCAGTTCTACTTCTTGTTCAGCAAATCGCTCAGACCAACAAGTTTGTTTACATTTGCAAGAGATAATGTTGCCCACTTCTTGTTTACAATGTCACCTGAAAGTGAGAACAGGTGTTTGCATGGCACTGTTGTAGCTGGCGTCACAAGATATTTACATGACAGATGCGGTAAAGATTCATATATCCCTTCATGCTTCGCCCACCATTCCCGAGGACATGCATCTATGCTGATGACAGGTTCTGCTCGATACTGATCTAAAGCAGTGCAGACTGATGCACATTCATTTTCATCATCTGAGTCAGATGCCACCAGCAGAAGGCTGATTTTCTTTTTTTTGGTGTTTCGGGTTCTGTAGTTTCCACATCAGACTGTTGCTCTTTTAAGACTTCTGAAAACATGCTCCACACCTCGTCCCTCTCAGATTTTGGAAGGCACTTGGGTAGAGTGCTGTAGCTACTTTTAGAAATCTCACATTGGTACCTTTTTGCATTTTGTCAAATCTGCAGTGAAGGTGTTCTTAAAACGAACAACATATGCTGGTCATTATCTGAGATTGCCACAACATGAAATATATGGCAGAATGCAGGTAAAAGAGTAGGAGACATACAATTCTCCCCCAAAGAGTGCAGTCACAAATTAATGCATTATTTTTTTAACGAGCGTCATCAGCATGGAAACACATCCTCTGGAATAGTGGCCAAAGCATGAAGCGGCATATGAATGTTTAGCATACCTGGCATGTAAATACCTAGCAATGCCGGCTAAAAAAAGTACCATGCAAACACCCTGTTCTCATTTTCAGATGACATTGTAAATAAGAAGTGGGCAGCATTATCTCCCATAAATGTAAACAAACGTGTTTATCTTCATGATTGGCTGAAGAAGAAGAAGAAGTAGTAGGACTGAGTGGATTTGTTCGCTCAAAATTTTACACAGTTTTGTTTGAGTGCAGTAATGTAACAAAAAAAATCTACATTTGTAAATTGCACTTTCATGATAGAGATTGCACTACAGTACTTGTATGAGGTGAATTGAAAAATACCACTTTTGTTTAATTTTTACAGTGCAAATATTTGTAATAAAAATAACAATATAAAGTGAGCATTATACACTTTGTATTCTGTGTTGTAAATTGAAATAAAATATTTGAAAATGTAGAAAAACATCTAAAATATTTAATAAATTTCATTTGGTATTCTATTGTCTAACAGTGTGATTAAAACTGCGATGAATCACAATTTTTTTAATCACGATTAATTTTTTTGAGTTAATTGCATGAGTTAACTGATTAATCCACAGCCCTAGTTTTTTTTCCCCCAAGAGCTTTTTCAAACAGTATTGCTTTTTGATCAGGTGAAATCAATAATGCAATACTTGTCAATGCATATAACTTACTCTTCAGGACTTTCCTCTTCTAATATACAAGGTAGATGGTAGCGCACTGGGTTGCTTAAGGCTAGAAAACTTTGAAGAGACTAAATCAGAGATGGGCAACTTTCAGGTACTAGAGGGCTAAAGAATCCTCTAACACACTTTGGTGGGCCAGGCAGTGCGATGCGGGGGTGGGAGGCACCAGGGTGAGTTAGAGAGAAAGTCCATCCTGCACTCACTCTGCAGCAGCAGCAGCTCCTGTCTGCTGAGGGCTGCACCCGACACCCTGCTCTGGTCTGTGGGCTCTCACCACAGCGTCATGTGACAAATGCATCTGTGCACACGCAGGGCCTTTGCCCCAGGATGTGCCACCCGCCCTCTTCCTGGCTCTGGCGCTGCCGGATCACCTACCCCAAGCTGGGCTGTGGTGAGCCAAATAAAATGATCCAGTGGGTCTGGTGTGGCCTCTGGGCCACCAGTTGCTCATCCTTGTACTAAATCAATGAGACACTACAAGGCCCAGTCAACATGTATGGAATATATGAACTCACTGAGTCTTGTTGCTTGCAGAGTGGTAAACTCTGGCTCTTGAGAAAATGAGTCAGTGCCAGGCATTGTACAGAGATGTTGTGCAAGCTCTTTCTACACAGCTCTGCCAATGTAACATAATCCTCCCTGCTATTCCAGGTCCCTGTCTCTCTGAAGCAGATGATCAGTAATACCAGATGACGTGAGAAAATGTTCACTTGGGGCAAGGCTGAGAAAGGCATCTAACTTACCAGTAGCGGGTTTTTCAGACATACTGCCTCTGCACTGTAGGAAGTTGCAAGCCACACTCATAAGCCATGGAATCATTTAAAGAAGTAAAAGAAATAGCAGATAACTAGAGCTACACAACAATGTTTTAAACCATCGCTGTAAAAGGCCCTTTGTTCTTAACAGTCTTTAATTCCTCTCTGTCTCAAAGTCTAAGCAAAAGGCTATGGAGGAGAGTCAGTGTGGACATACTCAGAAAATTTCAATTACTGATAGGTAACCCTCTTTTCTCCTTCATGAAAATTGCCTCTGCAGATCCCCATTGCAAGAGATTAACAAGCAGTTGAAATCCCAAAGACGGCAGCTGGGGATTTCTCATTCAAAAGGGAAGCTCCACTCTAAACTGGTTTCACTCATTCCTTTCAAACAGACCCTGGATGTTCATAGTGTGCATTACTGTTCTTGGGAAGAAGAGGCAAGCAGAGCATCATCCAGGAAAACAGATGAAGACAGTAGAAGCTCAACCACCTGTTACGGAGTCCAAAGCCTCTTCCCTCAAGCTGCAGAGCTAAGGAAAAAGAGGGTTTAATCAGCTCTGAAGAGGAGAAAAATCACACGTGTAATTCTTTGAAGATGCCATCACACAGGCTTACTCTGGGATCCACAGAGATCGCTGCAAAGCTCAAGAATAAGGTATTTCGCCTAGAACTGGTGACTGTCCCACCACTGACTCTAAAGGACCGAACTACCCAGCTTGCATGCAGACGTCACATACCTTCCCAAGAGCAGGAAAGCTTTAGAGTGAACACGGGCATACTGACAGAGCTTTACATTGAGCAGCTGTTTACTTCCACCACCATGACATTTACCCTCAGCTAGGGTACAGCAGAAATGGCTAAAACACACATTTATACATCTACAACCGTTTATTTTAAGACACTAATAAATTAAAAAAGTACATTTAACTTACAATGGATAACGGTCATTATGATGCACTGGTCCAGTCTCTGCTTCTTTATGGATGAAGGTGCCAAGTGAAAGGTCATGAAATCTTCTACCTAGAATCCTCCCATCTGGGATCCTAGTCCTTTCCCATCCAGCACACTAAGACTTTGACCCAACAAACCCAGGAGTCTCTCTCTCTCTGGGGAAACAGTTGCACATGCAAGCCTCTGCATCTCCCATGTTCCATAGGTCTCTCTGCTTTCCTCTTGTTTCTGTCATCCTCGCAACACACAGCACTTTCTTATCTCTCTCTAACACCTTATTGTTTCTTCCCTGACACAAATACTTTTCCACCTGAAATATAAATCAGCCCCTCTAAGCTATGTTACCTATAAGCAGCATTTATTACTTTCAGCTTATTACAACTTTACCAGTCCTCAGATCAGGGGCATCCATAATTTGCCCAATCAAGTGCTGCATTGCACAGCATCCAAAGGAAACAGCAAATCTGCAGGAAGTGGGGCAGACAAACTATTTTTATCTTGAATATGGTGGCACAACCCCACAGAAAGCAGGTGCCAGGATATAATGCTCCACCTTGATGCAAATGATCGTCACACCATGTTAAAGCTGAAGATGGATGCCACCTCCAGAGAGATAAGGGCTGGGATTTTCAAACACTCCTAAGTAGCATAGGAACACAAGTATCAGTGACTTTCAATGGGGCTTATACGCCTATGTCACTTAGGCACCTTTGAAAATACCACTCAAGAGCAGCAACATATTGCATTGGAGGACGTTGTGGTTAGTTCTTTGGCCATCCCTGCCTTAAATAATGTCTCACTAGTGGAGGGTGATTAAAGGGTTTGTAAGAGGAGCCCTCCACTCCATGAGGGATGCAGAGGACTCTGGAGGTATAATAAATATATCTGGTAGGCCCCTCTCAGCATGCAGCAGAGCAGGCTCTGAGCTCTAATAAACCATGTGTGTTCTTTCATACAGGTCTCCTGCTCCAAGCTGTAAATGTGATACCTCTAAAACTAAAAGCTTCATGTTCTCCCGATTTCTCCCCCTCCCCCCCCAAAAAACTGAAGTAGTTGCCATGGCAATTTCCTGAAGAGCTCCATGATTTTACAGCAGCTGTATTTTCTGTTTGAAATTAAAGTGAATTCAGGCCTTCTGGCTGGATACATCTGCAGATCCCCAGTTAGTCCACGAAGTTTGTGGCCAGCAGGTTGAAGCTATGGCAGCCGACAGTCCAGAGGTTTAGCCACACTGAGTGTCAGAAGGGAACTCCCGGGAGCCAGAAAGCCTGATATCCGCAGTTACGGACCAAGAAACACAACTGACACACCCAATCACAATGAACATGGCCATCTGTCTCCATCAGGACATGCCACTGTATACCATACAGAACCCATAACAGGAATGCAATGCATGCACACAGCAAACCATGGGATTCCCACAGAATGGGAATTTTGCAGCCATTGTTAAGGTTCATTACCTCTCCAGTTAGCTTTGACTGTAGCAGACTTTATATCTTCTAGTCCAGTCTAACCTGATGTGACCCCAGTTCATCACTCCCCTTGTCCATTTAACTTCCACACCAGGTGGAAACAAGCATCTCATGTTACTGCTTTATCAACCCCCCCACTCCTTGTTCCATCCCACCGCACTACAGATGTCTACAGCAGAGACCCAGCTCTGCCCCCTTCAGTTTGTGTGAATATCCTTTTCATCCATGGGAATCAACAGGCTCGATCTCCCTGGAGAATTTGTGGCTCTCTTAATCACTTCCATCCACCTGGCAAGAGAGGAACAACAGAACATTTACAACATTCAAGGCCACGTCCTTTGCTTACAAAACATTTCTGGGTCAAATGTATTGAATTGGCTGCTGATCTATGGAGAATTTCTACAGTACAAGAACAGCTTTCACTCCTCTATCACGCTTTCATCCAAGGATCTTCAAATGCTTTGGGTATGTCTTCACTTTGAGTTGGGTGGTGGTGGTGGGAGAGTGATTCCCAGGTTGAGGAGACCTGAGCTAGCATGCTGAATAGAGGGCATAGCCATGGTAGCATGAGTAGAGGAGGCACTACCCAACCCAAGTACATGCCCATCAGTTGCTAGATATGTACTCAGGTCAGCTAGCTCTTCAAATTGCTCCCCCTGCCATGGCAACATTCTATTTTCAGTAAGCTACCTCAATCAGAGCTAGTGCGGGATGTCTCCTCAAGCTGGGAATCACCCCCCCAAGTCAAAGTACAAACACATACCCTGTAAAAACACTAAGGCTTGCAAACCCATGTGAAGTAGGCAGTCTGAACACCATTTTACTGCAGAGGGAAAAACGGGGTACAAAGAGAGGTGAAAGGATCTGATCAGCATCACACAGTGTGTGTAATGTCCTTACATTAATGAACAAACTGAGGGTAACATGTTAAAATGGCTCAGAATCTGAACACTATTTGGAAAGTTAAAGTCCAACAAAGGATGCTAACTAGCCTATTGCAACCTAGAACAATATATAAAAAAGAGGAAGGGTCATGTAGTTGTGGGCTTGAAGCAGGTATTGGCTTGTCAACTGCATTGCATTAGAGGGAGTGTAATTCTCTTCAGGAGCCAGCGGTTTCCAGGAGTGAGGAAGTTTTATGTTTTCTTCCTTCAATATGGCAATTATCCTGATTATCAGACTCCTTCCCCAATAGTTATATGGGAGGACAACCTGCAAACAGTCAAGTGATTTCTCATCACTAACACCATGGAAGTTTATTTTGAACCACTCCCTATTTCAATCAAACAGCCAACTTTATATTCAAGGTATGGAGAGCAGCTGGCACCAAATAACTTGCAGACATATTTGGCCCTTTGGATAATCATTCACAGGCTCACATAAGAAGTCCCTAGATCAGTGGTTCTCAAACTTTCATACTAGTGACCCCTTTCACACAGTAAGCCTTTGAGTGTGACCCCCTTTATAAATTAAAAACACTTTTTTTATATTGAATAGTATTATAAATGCTGGAGGTGAAGCAGGGTTTGGGAGTGGAGGCTGACAGCTTGTGACCCCCACATGTAATAACCTGAGAACCCCTGCCCTAGATCTAGTTTAATTGCCTTTCTCCAGTTGAGACATTTCAAGCCCCTCAAGTCCATTCTAAGTGTCTTAGGACTGTGAAAAGGATTAATATCTTCCATGAACAAGTTACTAAATGAAACCAGATCTTTTGTTAGACCCAAGGTCAGAGAAACCTGGGATGATACCTCTGGAGAGAACCAACATTGGAATGGAGGCCATAAGGCAATACCTAAAATATCCACTAGAGATTGTATTAGAAAAATGCAGTATGAAAATTATACAGAAATTGTCTCTCTCGCCTGTTCCCTGGAGTAAACTGTACTGGGCTTGGGCCCTGCCTGAAGAGAAGACTGAACCCACTGGGGGTGATGCTGCCCAAGGGCAGTCTTGTTTTGGGAAGTTAGCACCATGCACCTGGTTTTGTATTCAGGCTCACTGGATTCTCCTGTATTTTTATTAGGAAAGCTCTCTTCATTTAAGAGGTCATCCTTGGCCACTGAGAACTATTTGAGACTGTACCTCTTTAAAGTATGGAAAGAACTCTTATAAAATGGGTAAAAAATGTCCCACTCTCGCTATCATTCTGGAAATCAATACTTCTAGGAATCCTGTTACTGGGAAAAACGTGGCAATTATGAGAAAAACTCTAAATCAATTATATGTGGCTTGGAGATTTTTCTTAAACTTACTTTCTGAAAAAGTCAAAAAGATAGGGACTCAGGGTTAGAACTATTCCATAACACTGTGACCCATACAATGAGAGACTTGCTGACAAGAGTTTGATGCTCTCAAGTGGGGATGGGGAGACTTCTCTTTCCTTACAGGAGGTAGAAGGAATATAGGGAGAACACAAAATAATAATATATGTAGATATACCTATCTCAGAGCTGGAAGGGACCCTGAAAGGTCATCGAGACCAGCCCCCTGCCTTCAATAGCAGGACCAAGTACTGATTTTTGCCCCAGATCCTTAAGTGGCCCCCTCAAGGATTGAACTCAACCCTGGGTTTAGCAGGCCAATGCTCAAACCACTGAGCTATCCCTCCCCAAATATTGGCCCAAGAGATTATGTTCCTGCTTTCTAGAAGAAACTCAGTTTTCTGGTTCAATTGACTGGTGTATAAAATTGCACCTAGTTCTCTTGCATACAGTATAATTTAAAACGTAAGTTTTGAGTATGAATGTATTGCAGTACAAACAGCATTCAAAAAATGTCGGGGCAAGACAGTTGCAAAGACAGCAATAGAACGCAGAACTCCCAACTCCCAGCCGTGTGTTCTAACCTGTATACCAGGCCCCCTCTCTCTTTGAAAAACAAAAAGATTTCTGCTGTACCTAAATAATAACCTCTCTCAATGAACTGTATGTCAAAGGCTGCCTGGGCCCAGTGTGGATATACTGGGTATGGTGGGCAAGGTAATGGGCACCACACAGAGGGTATATACCTCCACACATGCTACATTACCCAGATTCATTGGGATTTCTAGTATGTCACAGTATAGAAGGAAGTTGGATCTCCAACTAGGCAGAACCACCAGCCGTAGGCGCCAACTCTGTGGGTGCTCCAGGACCGACCAGCAGCCAAGCTCCCCTCCCTCCCTCTCCCAGCAGCCTCCTGCCTGCCAGTGGCCCCACCAATCAACTCCTCCCCCCCTCCCAACGCCTCCCGCCCGCTGCGGATCAGCTATTTCATGGCGTGCAGGAGGCTCTGGGAGGGGGAGGAGCGAGGACGGGGCACGCTTGGGGGTGGAATTGGACAGGAAGAGACGGAGCCGAACTGGGGGCTTGGGGAAGGGGTAGAGTGGGGGTGGAGCCGGGGTGGGAGCTTGGGGGAAGGGCCTGGGCACCCCGGGAGAAACTTGGAAGCTGATACATGCCACCAGTTATTCCCCTCTGAAAGGAGTAGAGGTCTGAAGCAGTAACCACAGAGGAGCTTTGCAGCCATCAGGGATGGTGAGGGAAAGGATTCCCTCTTTCTAGGAACCCAGGGATGCCCACGGGGGTACTTGGATTGTGCATAGCAACAAAGACTGGGATCTAAAATCTCAACTCTGGACTACCCACTGGTGGCTAAAGCAAATATTAGACTCTGAGATGGATGCAGGAAGCATAAATTTACCTCTCAAAGGTGTACTTGCTCTCGGCCCTGAAGAAATACACATGGGACTTGAACTGCAACTTGAAGACATAATCCTTCTGAATGCCATCTGCCTCCACTGGGGTGCTGACTGTGTAGCCAAGTAGTGGGAGACTGGCCAATGGATAATCATCCTGGAACATAGCCAAATAGTGCAGTTCTTGGTGAAAGCCATCCTTTACCAGTCAGCACATGGTCAGCAATCGCAGAGCATGTGTTTGATCTTTCATATTGTACAGTCAAGAATGGCTTTATTTTTTCTTAGCAGGAGGTGATAAGAGAAGCTGCCTTTCCATCTATTTTGAGATCCGTATGTTGTAAATTATGATGAAATTTTCCCCAAGCTTGCTTAATTATTTTAATAAAATTACATGCCTCTATTCCCCTGCCTCTCACTGTCTCCTGGATTTCCCCCACTGTCTCTCTCAAATCCAGAGCACTATTCCCACAGCAAAACAAAGATTTTGTTCCCAATAACACTTTCCTCAAGGCAAGAAGCCTGTATAACATGAAAGAGGTTTACTGGGCTAATGAGGACTGAAGGAGCAGGTAGCATTGTGGCAACATTCACAAAAATCACTCCACTGTCACAGGAATTCCTGAGGCCTATTTCAAACCATTAGTTGTGCTGAACTTTAAAAGGAGTGGGGAAGATTGGACTGGCATCTAAACACAAAGGAAGAGGAAAGATGTAGGTGAAAGGTTCATTAATCCTTTAGCCTCTACTTCAAGAGACTCCCACCCCTCACACTTCCCACTTACAAAACAGGATATCCTGATTAAAGCTGCAACAGAAAGGCCCTTAGCCTTAGGGAGCCTGACTCCATTAATTGCTGCCGGCTATTTTTCTTGCTACATGCCTTTGGAGTTAGGCTCCAAATTCAGTGCAGATGATAGATGGTTGTGAAATGCACCTAGAGGACAGTAAAGAGTTATATCTGTGTCTTCCATCCAATATCTCTCCCCTTGTCCCCATACTGTTCCACTACTATAGCATACCTGGTGAGTTTTGTAGAAGAACAAACAGAAGTTGGTGAAGACAACCCAGAGCTTTTGCCAGCCATTACTATTTTTGAATTTCCTCAGCAGGTACCCTGAAAGCTGATTCTAGCAATGAAGAAAAAGAAAATGAATGTGAGATCACTGATCACTCTCCCCAAGAACAAGACAAATGCTGCTGCTGGCACTATTCCATATGCTGACTGATGTTCCCTATTGGCTGCTTCTAGACAATGCAGAACAATTAACAGACAGTCTTTTTCCTATGCTTTGAGAGACTTCTAGGATGTTCCAGTTACTGATGGAATGCCTTAGCGCATTTTTGCATTGTCAATTTGCCACCTACACAAAATGGTCTGCTTTCACATTGCAAAACAGTTAAATATGCATGGCATTTTCACCTCAACAGAAGATGGTTGAACTTGATTATGTGATTATTTACCAATTGTTACTGTATGGGTTTCTAATTCTATTATACCAATGATTTACCATCCATAGCACCTCACTAAGAAGAGAATGATCTTGAGCTCCCCAAAAATCTAGCCCTACCATTGTCACTGTCCGCATCCTGTCTTCCTGAAACATGCTAAGAACTAATTGGCAACATCCACCAAGACACTGCATTCAGTTTATTTGAGCGAGATCAAAAATAAAACATAAGAAGAAACAAGCAAAAAAGGATTCTTGATTGACACTGGGGTTCTGGACCAGGATACGACTACATAAAGCTGAGCTAGAGTGGACAGCATGTTGCAGGGAAGCATTATTTAAGTTAATATACTGGTATATTGGAACCTGAGTAATAGAATAGTGGTACAGTGAGATGAGAAACAGATGTGGCTAAAACTACAGGAAGAAATTACAGCATATTAGTTTTATATCCAATGAAAAAGAAAAAAGAAAGCCCAGAGTTTAGGTTGGTGTAGCATAAACTGAAAGGATATCAGGGCTATTTTTGGAAGGTGAGACAAAGATATCAATGGACTTCCGCACCAATCACCAAACATCACAACTTCCATTCTGGATGTGTCAGGCATTCTCACACTTGCACAATGTTTACGGTGCAGGGGAGAGGAAAGTAGGGGAGAGGAACTAGAATTTTTTTCTGCTTTGGACTCAACTCAGTGTTTTAGAGGTGTTTTTACCTGAATCATGCATAAGTAATCAGACAGGGATAGGCTCTGGTTCCGGTACCAGCAAACATGGGTGATTGTGTTGGGCCGATGGGTCTGGCCCAGCAAATAGTGAGGAGAAAGCTCTGGAGAAACAGCAAGAAAACAGAAAACTGAGCCGAGAGAGAGAGAGAAAATAGAGCTTTAGAAAAAGAAAAAGTGATGTAAGAAAAGCATCTGTTAAATGACAAAGGAATGTGAAAAAGTCATTGTATTAGAATCTGAACTACAGAGCAAAGCAAAAAGGTGCTGGGAGAACTCATACTGCAATCCTAGAGTCAGTGGTATAAAGCTCACAGCACTTCAGATATCACAGTGATCTGGTGGCATTCATAAATTTGCCAAAGGAAGCAAGGCCAGGTTCCTTCAAACGGGATCCAGTTTGCCTGCTGGCAAGATGACAAACTCATGGTCTCCACGCCAATGTAAAAGGTTTATAAAACTTCCAACAATGAGCTTATTAGTTTGCTATGTAAACCATGAAAATCTAGGTGCTCCATTTTAATGCCCAGCTGCACTTCCTTCCATTAAACCTGAGTGCTTTGACAAAGAACTCTCAGGAAGATAGGAAGGTGGAAATATGCAAAGGTACTAAAGTAACCAGGTTTTCTCCTTCAAGGCAACTACTACATATTTCTACTTGTGGGAATCTAGCAAGCAGTACGATCCTCCTGGAAGGTGGGCCAGGGAGGTCTAACTAAACAAGGATTGCAGAACTGCCTCCCAGAGGAAGCCTCAAATCTAGATACAAAGTCAAGACTAATGCTGTGTGTGTACAGAAATCCAGGTGGCAGCCCTACAGATTTTTATGGTGTAAACACACGGAGAGTGAGCTCTAACACACTGAATACTGGCACACCAGCTAAAATAGAACAAGTCTCTATAAACAGCTTGATAAACTTAGACAAATGTTGAATGGAAATGGCACTCCCTGCTTCCCAAAGCTCAGCAGGGCTGGTTCAGGGGAGGGTACATCGCACAAATGGGAATATGCAGAGGCCCTCTCGAAGGAGAAATAGTTCAACTTTATGAAAAATATTGAGAGTAAAGCAGTTTCTAAGTCAAGGGACAATGAACGAAGTACAGTACCTAATTAGCACCCGATCCCAGGGTTTGGTAGCTCAGGATTGGCCCTAAACTAGAACACCATTGGCAGAAAGAGAAAAATAGCCAGTTCCCTCTGGCGAGGCTGAGGATCTCAAGGAACTCAAGTTAAAAATTCTGTCCTAGAAGTTTCCTAGTTTTCCTTTTACATTTTTCTTCTTCAAAACACTCCCTTGAATAACAACACTGTGGTGGGGTAGCAACATGTGTACATGTATACACACAGACACACATGCATGTTCAAACATTTATTAACCTTTCACTCACTCACTCTCTCTCTAATCACCACAGAAATGACTGATGGTAACAAACGTATACTGGAGGAAGATCAGGTGGTGAATGAGTTGAGACAGACATTGAGAAGTGAGAGCTGTGCCCTATAGGGTACCTCGACGGCCACACTGTGGTCAGTCATGGAGACACTGGTGTTGCGGTACCAGCACACGTGCATTGTAGTGTTGGCACGGTGGTGGCTCTGCCTGTCCAGGGAGCTACGAGAAGACTGTATGTCATCTTCGGATTCCTGCTCTAGAGAGACCTCATCAGAGGATCCTGGGGGAGGAGAATTCAGTGGCAGTTTAAGAAAACTGTGATACATAGCCTGTGGCAGAAACTGGGATTCCTCGGCATGTCTGCAACTTTTTCTTGAACCTATCCAACACTAACAGACATCAGCATGAATTTGTTACACAGCTCCTGAAAGTCACACTGAACAGATCATTCTGGCTGTCACGATCCAACTGTGTTTGGGATATCTGACTCATAGAAATCAAAAATGCAGCTTGTATTAAAACGCTGAGCATATGTTTTACAATATCACATCCAGAGAAGCATGTGACTTGGAAAGAGCCCCTTCTCACTGTGCAACAGAGAAAATTCACTGAAAAAAGGAATGTCACATGCTTCATCACAGACCACGGTAAAAACACACAGTTTTCAGTCTACGAGAGGCTGTGAGGAACTTCTTGTCCATCAAAGATACCAGCATCTATGGACTGGAAAAAGCACTGTGTAGTTAAACAGAGGAATATTCTCCAAAATAAGAGATGGTTAAGGGGATTATGGACCATGCAAAACACATTATTGCTTTGCAGCACAAACTTCTATCTGCTGAGTCTCAAAATACCAGAAACATCACTCTAGCTAGGGGAGTCTACTCTAAGGAAAATAAGGAAACAGCACTCCATTAGTATATACCATTTATCCTTCCTGTCTGAGAATTTGGAAGATGCAGAGATCACAGCACCATTTGCATTATGTCAATAAAGAAGGAAAATGCTACTTACTGTTAGAGCGATTACACATGGAGCTTTCCAAAAACGGGTCATATTTCTCATTAGATTTTTTGGCCATTTCAATCGCCATGTTTAGGTCTTCCATCCACTTCCCCATCTCCAGACGGGTACTGCAAAACAAAGAGTGCTGCTGGCTAAGCATCCTGGTTTTGGACTGGGACATAGTGCTAGATTTTTGAATCAAGATGAACTTTAATATGCCAGCATTTTGAGCTACCAAAAATGATGTCAAGTATCAGGGGGTAACCCTGTTGTTCACAGTTTATCATATAGCAACAGAAGCAGCTTTCCTGACAGGGATTTAAGTTCCACAATTTCAAGTGTGCAAAGTCATAGAAAATTTCACTCCTCCCCATCCTTCTGCCATCTGAAATCAACCTGGGCTTGTTAGAAAGTATAGAGAACAGTTGCAATGCTCATTGGCCCATCCTGTGCAATGGTAACTTAGTTAAGTTGATCTCCCCTGAACCTAATTCCCTCCACACCGGAGCTATGACACTACTCTCAAGGGAACTGATGTACCCAAATTTTTAAAACAGAAGCCCTTTAAAAAAAACCAACATTTTCCAACCTATATCACATAGAATAGGAGACATTTGTGGTAACTAACTATAAGGAAAACCTAGTAACCTCAGATAATTATGTGTGGTAACTGCTGGCAAAAGCTGACTTTTTAGTTGGTGACCACTTTACTAAGGAGTACTTGTGGCACCTTAGAGACTAACAAATTTATTTGAGTATAAGCTTTCATGGACTAAAACCCACTTCATCGGATGCATGCAGTGGAAAATACAGTAGGAAGATATATATACATATGAAGTGGGTTTTAGCCCACGAAAGCTTATGCTCAAATACATTTGTTAGTCTCTACGGTGCCACAAGTACTCCTTGTTCTTTTTGCTGATACAGACTAACATAGCTACCACTCTGAAACTTTACTAAGTGATTCCGTGTGAAGCCTTCTGATGGGGATCTTGCCTTTTAAATGCGGAAAATCAAATTTAGGGCTCAAACATCTAATTACAGATAATTCTGGTAAATATATTGCAGCATGCCATTAAAATGTAAGACACAGAATGGGAGGGTGGAGTAGGGAGAAGTTAGAGTTTATGATTACCAAGCAGTTGAAGACACAGGTTTAAAATAACAGTTTAAAAATCATACACAATCTATACTGAAAAGGTGAGAGAATGAACAGCAGACCTGTCAGACTCAACTGCTGTATAATTTTAACAACATGTTCTAGGGTTGTGTGCCACACATATTTTGGGATGAAATTACAAGGAATATCATCATTCTTTATATGGGCTTTATGACTTATCTACTTTTTTTGAGATAAGAAATATTTTCTGACTGAAGATCATATTAAAGGAAGGCATCTTAGACTGGGTAGGTAGAATGACACTGAAAATGATAATACTGAAGCATTTGAAGGATGGCACTCCTTTTAAAAAGGATATCTATTTTAGCTTTCATCTTCAGAGTAAAACAAAGAATGAAGGATGTTGAAGATTTATTCCAGAGCATATGGTAACCATTTATAGATTATATGGGTGACACTGTGATTACTGGGTAAGAACTTCATAGGTCATATTTTTTATTTTCTGGAATAGTTGCTACAGAGTAAATTTTTCCTTTTAGTATCAAGACAAAGCATTTGTTCTTTTTCAAGTTTTAGAAAAATCCTGTCAAACATTTCCAAGTTATGACAGGGTGAAAAAAATTATATACTCTCTGATTTTAAGCATATTTCAAAGCTGGTTTTTTGGCTCACAGTTGACTAAAAAAATCGCTAAACTTCAAAACTGACATTTTCAGGTAAGCTAGCACTCGAAAAGGGTTCGTTTAGTCCTTTTGTTAATATGCAAAATATAAAATAAGTGACTGGTAAGCCATTAAAAATTTGATTTCACTAATGTTTGGCTATAGCTTTTGCTAACATTAGGAGCTATGAAACTAGCTGAATAAAAAAACCTACAAAGAATATGTAACCTCTAGATTAAGGGCTCCAATTCTGCATCACCCGTGCATGCATAACTTCAACTGAATCCCATGGGAATTTTAGATGCACAACAACTACTGGGGTATGTTCCTAGGAGATTGTAGAAATTGTAAATTAAATTTTACATTTGGAGTATAGAGAGATTACATCTTGGGTATAAAGAAAAACAATAAACCTGAGTGACAGTAAACCAACAAACAATAAACCAATCCAGTTTTAAAAGCATCTTTTTAGCAACAAATATTACAAATTCTGTAGTGAAATACAATGGTTTACCTTACTGTAATATTGAGGTAACAAATTTATATGCTCCAAATCTGGAAATGGAAAAGTTTAGGTTTTCACTAATTTAGCCAGTCTCTTTGTACATCCTGTCCTTTCTACAGCATATATTTATCACCTTAGTGTGAAGTTTTGCCTTGCAAATGTATCAATCCCAACTGCAATCCTTATGTAGGCAAAGCTCACATTGAATTAACTGGAGACTTCCCTCAGTAATAACTGAATAAAGACTGAAAAATTTAGCTTATAGGTCATGCAAATATTCTGTTTTCTAATCACTTACAAAAAAAGCAAATTACAGAGAACTGAATATTGTGCAGAAGAAAAGTTCACTTTTGTAAATCAGTTCTCTGGATTATGTACCATTCCTTCTAGGTCACGTCTTTTACTATCTACCTGAAAGCTGTAATAGGAGGGAAAGGTCTTGATTTATTGTTGTGTTGTCCAGCAGGGAGCTGCTAACACTCAATTTTCTAAAAGAGAAAAGGACTAAGTTGAAAAGAACTTTGTTTACTTTACAAGCCATCCTTGAACTCATCTCATTTCCTGGTTTGTGCAATGCCTCCATTACATCTGCCCAGGAATTCTGCACTTCTTAATCCCATTTTCATTTTCTACATTTTAACTGGAGTTTGGGTTTTGTTTGGCTCTCTAAAATATTTCCATGTTTAGATCGCCAAATAGCATCACTTGTATCTTTCCCACTTTTCCTGTTTTAAATCAATTGGTTAAAGGCTTTCACTGCAAGCTCAGCCAGCTCATCAGAAAACAATGCACTAGCAATGTCACTTCTGCTGCTGTTCCTTTAAGAATGCATGGTTTGGTTAGATCAAATACTCCTTTCTGTAACACGGCATTAATAAAAGGTCTTTAAATGCTGAATATTTCAAACCTATTGTCAAAACCATGCTTTCCCGAAGGTCCATGAAGCACTCCTCTGGCCCCTGCAATCAGCAGCCAAATGTTTAATCCAAGGGCTCTTACCTGCTTGTGGCTGGGAAGAAGAAATACATACCTTGCTGCCACTACTATTGTTTTCTGAGCTGAATAGATTGTGAAGCAGTGTGGGACAGACCATTCATTCTCACTCTCTTCCACCTAACATGAAGAAAAAAGGTTTCTCTCATCACTCACTGTGCAATGGTATGTACCCAAGTTGTTCTCTCTGGTTAGATAGGAACTCATTCACAACACCATGACTTCAGAGTTGCAACAAGTATGAAAGGCAGCTACTTCAAAAGCACTCAAAGTCTATTTTGGTTCTACACTGGAATCTATGTGTTATAGTTCTAGTGCCACATCTGTAGGCTGTGTAAATGCCATAGCCAATGGGGTCAGAAAGGAGCAACTCCAACTAAGGTTCATCTTATTACTCACCGGAGGATCCAGCACTATTAACTGTAAGTCAAACAAAGAAAGAATAGCTCCATTAGAAGAAGGGGTAGAAGAGCTGCTATGGCTAGTTGTGAAAAACAACAGCACAGATCAGTCTCAAACAGTCATGCAAAAGTGAAGAGGTAAACAAGGTTTGTCTTCAGATTGCTTTGCTAGTGAGGTGAAAAGAATGAGTGCTTTGTCCGCTGGCATCACACACAGACTAAAGCATGAAAAAGGTCCAGTCCACATCTCCATGGTCTTTGACAACCCTGGCAGCGAGGCTGCTTTCAACAGCCTGGAAGCACCTCACTCCTGACCAGCAGCTGAGACTTTAGTTCAGCATAACTGCATGAAGTGAATGCACCAAGAGGCCTCCGTGCACAATGGCTTATGTATTTATTTAACCAATGCTGTGGTGCACTTTGAAAGAAACTACTTACCAGCATGCCATGCAGAGGGAGGTGTCCATGAATTTTGAACTGATTGGTACCCGTGACTCCTTTGCTTGTGTACAGCAACATATCTGAGAACTGACAGAGGAAGGAGGAATATAACCTGTATGCTTAAAAAGACATTACTCGGTACCTTTTCCACACAGATGTTTTGTTTAAGTTTGCCATTGTTTGTAATACCTTTTAAAAGCATGAAAATAAAGTTTCTTTCTCTACCAATTTTGTCCATTTCCATTAAAAACATTTGCTTTGTTTCTCTAATGGAGCTTGATATTAACATGGCTTTTTAAATGTACTTAAATTAAATAAATGGGTGTATGTAAACAGAAAATGGACTGGATTACTGCTGTCCTCCATATACCATGAGAAGAAACTCAGTGAACTTTTGGTTAGCATGTTGAGCTCCATCATCTCTGTACTGGGACTCAATCCCTGAAAACAGCTTGGTTTGTGGCTATGCCTTGAGGACACTTGATGTGTAGACAGCAAAGGAAGCACTCACCAGAAAGAACATCCTCTGTTGTAAACCTTTTTTAGTGAGCTTGTACAAGCAACCCTCCCGGATAAATTCCTGTGGGGAAAAAGAAATTACATCAAGCTTTTCCTTTCTCCAAGTGCACAGAGTTTTGAAGTCTCTTCCTTTTCCCCACTTTCTCCTTGCTGCAAACACCATTTGGAATAAGTGAGAAAAGGCAATTTCTGAGAAAAGGCTGGACTTTAGCATACTGGCTACTGAACTAATGCCCCATTAACCCTATAGAACGCTAAACTGTTCATTAGTTCTCTGATGTGCCACACTACCAATATGTGAATCAGAAAAATAATATATCTAGAATCTAAAAAATCCTCCCAAAGTCACGGATATTCAGGGTTAATGCTAACACTGGTACCTACTCTGTTGATGCTCCTCTCATCAATGCTATATTCTCCATATTCTCTCAGGCCATTCCAAAGCAGAGATAAATCAGAGCCTGACCCAGCGGACCTAGCAGCGTGGTCATTATTTGGTGACATAATCCTCTTATCCAAGGACCAACCATAACAGCTCACCAAGTACCTGTTGTACTCAGAGCAGGGCAATGGAATATCAATCTAAGTTGAACTACTTTTGTTTTTGTTCCTTACAGTACCATTACAAGTGGGAAATGTGACCTGGTATACAGACACATATCCTATGAGAACCCTTATGGGCTTTAAGATAAATACATAGTTAAAGTCTGTGACAGGTAAATAAGTATGTTATATAAATGTTGTTCCTAAGTATTCAAAGCCAATAAAGGCTTTAGAAGTTAAGCAAAGAAAGTTACCTACTCTGCCAGGTGCTATGAGGTTATCAATGCCAATCAAGTCATGTTGTAGCTCTGTCAGCTTCTGGAAATTCTCCAGGCGGATCAGGCTGTTTTGGAGCTGAGATGTCATCTCTGTAACCTCCTTCAGTGCATCTGCAGGAAAAGCAACATCAACACAGATCAGGGCTCTGCAGACAAAGCCAGAGGTCCTAGCCATCAATCTATCATCAGTTATTTTGTAACACTTCGTTAAAGGCTCAAATTTATGTATGCATTTATTTTTAAACACACAGAGACTATCATGCAACTTCATGGTAATTACATGTTTCTGGAGATTACCAGGTAATTACAATTTATAAATCCAAAAGTAATTACCATGTAACCAATACTTTAGTTTGAACGTTAGAAAATATGACACTATATGGTATGGCAACTTCTTTCCTACATTTATATATTTAACCAAGCAAGAGTTTCTGAATGAGTATTACATCTTTTCCTCCACAGTTGGAAGCAAGGACTCATTTTCCAACTTGGATTAAAAATATTAACTGTCAAAAGTGAAAAGGAAAAAAAAAATTGGGGAATGGCAGAGGAGAAAAGGATTTTTCTATTCAAATAGAACAGTATTCATTAAAACTATCTATTTATTTCTGCTACTAACAGCTGTTAATAAAATCTCCTATTCTGGGGTGGTGCTTTTGAAGGTGATGTTGCTTTCATACAGGGACGATTGTACCAGCGTATGGCAGGAGACTGATAAAGCCCCAAACTACAGTGTTAAAACAAACAAACAAACAAACAAACAAACAAAAAAAACCAACTAATTTTAAAACACAAGTGAACTCATGCTTTAAACTTAAACATTTTCCCTCCAGTTTTGTGCTTTTCCATTTAGCATTTTCTATTATTTTTAAATGGTATTGAATTTACTAGACTGTATTAATTTCACAACTTGAATTTACAGCATTTTAAGCCAAAACATCTTTCTCTGTGGACTAATATCATCACTGTTTAAATGACTGCAAAACGAGCAGAATGAGCAAACCATACATTTTGTAGGTCCAACCAAAAAAAAAAAAATTAACACACATACAAACGCTCTCTCTCTCTCTCACTTTAATTTATTTTCTCTTCAATAGCAAATTTGCTAATCAGTATGTCTGCCCTGGGAAAGGACAGAGTCCAGTCTCCAGAGCTGTCAATCACAGGCAATAATATCAGAAGTACTTTTTTTCCCTCTCCCTTTCCTCTTCTAACTTTTTAAAACTCAATATTGACTAACCAAGACTTTCGGTTTACTTGTGTGAAAGGGGCATTTGAAAGCTATATGTTTACCCAAAAGAGGGAAGAATTACCAAACATGCTATCCAAGAGAATAAATTAGCTGGTAATTTCTGTCTTTCAGGAAGGCACTTCTGATAATCCTTTTGTGCCTGAGAAGTGACTGGGGGGCAGTGTGTGAAATGCACATAACCTAACAATAGATTTATAGTTAAGAGAAATTTATTTCAGGTGTGTTATCTTAATTTTCAATCACAGCATGCAGGTCCTTTCTCCCAAAAATGTCTTCAATGGAGGCCATAAGGTCTGATTAGCAATGTCCAGTAACCAGACATTGATTCCACAGGTTTCTTCTATTTATGCTGACCTCCTAAAATGTACATGATGTCTAACAGGTCATATTATGCTCTTTGCCATATATGATTCTCTGATGCACACCAGGCTCCATTTATCAATGGGAATTTGAGGTCTTTTCCCTGCAGTTTGAATAGCATTTGAAAAATAGTGCTGCCGACTAGCCAAGTTTCTTAGTTCAGTGTAGACAGCTCATTAAGCATCTGTGGTTTTTTTTTTTTTTGTGTGATGGCAAAATGATGATAAAAACAGTAAAACTCTGTGGACCTTTAGCCATGAAGCCAGATTGAAAAACACAGCACCTCCTCTCCCAGTGGAAAATAGGCAGTGTTTGTAGTTCAGATGGCCTCCTGGCAGGGGTAAAAGAAACAAGGAAACCCCTTTTTACAGGCAAAGTGGCAAGATACTTCTTGGAATAGTTAAGATGACTTTTCATTCAACGAAGAATAAAATAGGTTGGGAAACTTCAGTAATTTGGATGGCCTCAGAAATCCCATCATATATGGTTGCAGCACCAGTTTTCCATTATTTGAGTCTGTTACATCATCCAGTGCAGACACTGCACTTTCAGGAAACTAGTGAAGACTCCCAACTCCAGGTCAACGAGTTTGAACGGGACAATTTGTCGGATGCTGTAATCCTCATGTCCCAGGTTCCACATACCATGTCTGTATCTTATTCACACCCTTGCAGAAGTCATGGAGATTAATTTCTGCCTTGCCATCGTTAAAAAGAACACCAGCCTGATTCAAGTATCCCTTGGCTTTGAGAACTGGCCTTTCATAATCTAGCTGTCAAACTTTGTACAGTACTGTGGTGAAGCACTGATTTTTGAGACAAAGTTACATCTGAGAGATATTAGGACTGGGTCTCAGATGACCATGTCTACCAGAATCAGAGTCTACAAGCTTTCATAAGATGATTGATGGCTTCCTTTCCTTCAGGAATTTGGGGGTTGGACTGAAGACAATTCTTCACATGCAGAAAAGGTGGTGAATCCTATTACAATTCTGGCAGCTGCTCAACTGCATCCTGAACCTGCTGCTGATGGGGATTCAGCTATCTGCTCTCATTGGTATCACTGTCTTGGGTGGGTAGATGAACAGTAGGCAAGGGAGGGGTGAGATGGATGCCCTTTGGACCAGCTTCTTTTCTGCTTGTGGTCCCTTTTGCTGATCTGCCATGCTGCAATCAATGCTTCTGATGGGCAGCTCATCTGTGCTGGACTGAAACAGAAGTACGTCAGAGATGGTGTTGCAAAGTACCCTGTAGTGGGAAGGTGAGTATCTCCGAGAGAGTGACCAAAAGCAGGGGACTGCCTGGAAACATGAGCTCAGTGGCCCAGGAGAAGGTTGCTTCTAATCACATGGGAGATGATCTAAGAATGAGCCACTCTAAAAAAGCATTTCTTGAGTGCCATGCCAACAGGGCACCACTCAGAGAAAAGACATTCTGACCTCTACCAGCCATAGCTGAACAAAGAGATTCCCTGCTCTAAAGGTGCTCAAATGGCATCTGTCTGTAGTACACAGCGAGATGGCACAACTACTGGATGAACCAACCAGGGGCCGTCCTCATCTTGACCTGCTGCTTACAAACAGGGAAGAATTGGTAGGGGAAGTAGAAGTGGGTGGCAACCTGTGCAGCAGTGACCATGAGATGGTTGAGTTCAGGATCCTCACAAAAGGAAGAAAGGAGAGTAGCAAAATATGGACCCTGGACTTCAGAAAAGCACAGCAAATATGGCAGGCGACCTGCTTGGCTTAACAGTGAAATCTTCTGTGAGCTTAAAACACAAAAAGGAAATTTACAAGAAGTGGAAACTTGGACAGATGACTAGGGAGGAGTATAAAAATATTGCTCGAGCATACAGGGGTGTAATCAGGAAGGCCAAAACACAACCGCAGTTGCAGTTAGTAAGGGATGTGAAGAGCAACAAGAAGAGTTTCTACAGGTATGTTAGCAACAAGAAAAAGGTCAGGGAAAGTGTGGGACCCTTAATGAATGGGGGAGGCAACCTAGTGACAGATGATGTGGAAAAAGCTGAAGTACTCAATGCTTTTTTTGCCTTGGTCTTCACAGACAAGGACAGGTCCACACTGCTGTCCTGGGCAACACGATATGGTGAGAAGGAAAGCAGCCCTCAATGGTGAAAAACCAGGTTAAGGACTATTTAGAAAAGCTGGACATGCACAAGTCCATGGGTCCAGATCTAATGCATCCGAGGGTGCTGAGGGAATTGGCTGATGCGATTACAGAGCCATTTGCCATTATCTTTGAAAACCCGTGGTGATCGGGGGAGGTCCTGGATGATTGGAAAAAAAGGCAAATATAGTGCCCATCTTTAAAAAAGGGACGAAGGAGAACCTGGTGAACTACAGACTGGTCAGCCTCACATCAGTCCCTGGAAAAATCATGGAGCAGGTACTCAAGGAAACCATTTTGAAGCACTTGAAGGGGAGGAAGGTGATCAGGAACAGTCAACATGGATTCACGAAGGGCAAGTCATGCCTGACCAACCTGATTGCCTTCTATGAGGAGATAACTGGCTCTGTGGATATGGGGAAAGCGGTGGATGTGATATATCTTGACTTTAGCAAAGCTTTTGATATGGTCTCCCATAGTATTCTTGACAGCAAGTGAAAAAAGTATGGATTGGATGAATGAACTATAAGGTGGATAGAAATCTGGCTAGATTGTCGGGCTCAACAGGTATTGATCAACGGCTCGATGTCTAGTTGGCAGCTGGTATCAAGTGGAGTGCCCAGAGATCAGTTCTGGGGCCGGTTTTGTTCAACATCTTTATTAATGATCTGGATGATGGAATAGATTGCACCCTCAGCAAGTTCGCAGAGGACACTAAGCTGGGGGGAGAGGTAGATATGCTGGAGGGTAGGGATAGGGTCCAGAGTGACCTAGACAAATTGGAGGATTGGGCCAAAAGAAATCTGATGAGGTTCAACAAGGACAAGTGCAGAGTCCTGCACTTAGGACGGAAGAATCCCATGCACCGCTACAGGCTGGGGACCGACTGGCTAAGCAGCAGTTCTGCAGAAAAGGACCTGGGGATTACAGTGGATGAGAAGCTAGATATGAGTCAGCAGTGTGCCCTTGTTGCCAAGAAGG